GTAATTCAAAATTCCAACAGGAATGGAAGGATTCTTCATATCAAGGACAACCTTCCTTCCTCAGTGTACTGGGTTGATGGGGATGAGAACTTTAAACATTGGCTATCAAAAATGGGGGGCAGGTGGCTCTAAAGGCATGAAGTGGTTGGTTTACAAGCTTTCATAAGTATACTTAATTTCAGAAGGAGGGGGTACGGTAGAATCCCTCAATAAGATGGCTGCAAACATAGCAGGCTTGTGAGGATGGCACAGGACTGGGCATTGTTTAGTTCTTTTGTACTTGGGGTCATTTTTGTTGTTGTTAAGTGCTGTCAAGTCATTCAGGACTCATTTTGATCCTATATAGGGTTTCCAAGGAGCAGCTGGTAAATTTCAACCCTCATCCCCTTCCAGTTCAAATAGACCTTGCTGTCTAGTGCATTATCCCACAGTGCCACACCAAGACTCCGGGGGTGGGGGGTGGGAGTGTGTGTTGCTTTGGGTGGCACTTAACCACAAACACCATCACCTGCAGCCTTTAGATTTTTTGAGATTAAATTAGGAGGAAATGGTTTGATGATTATCCTTTTCTAGAGTTGTTGTTGCTAAGTGCCATTGAGCAGATTCGTACCCATAGAGACCCTGTATAGGGTTTCCCAGGAGCAGCTGGTGAGTTTGAACCACTGATCTTGCAGTTCAAACGACTTTGCAGTCTGATACATTAGACCACAGCGCCACACTGTAAATTTACATTGCCTTACAGCAGTTTTTGGCAGGCTTTTGCAGTTTGAATCAGGCTTTTTTATAATTACTATATGACCAAACTTCTCTCTCATACTTTGGACATATTGTCAGAAGGGACCAGTTGCTGGAGAAAGATATCATGTTTGGTAAAGTGGAGGGTCAGAGAAAAAGAGGAAGACCCCCAACGAGATGGAATGGTCAAGTGGCAGCATCTATGGACTCAAGCGTGGTAGTGTGGTTGGCCCAGCATCGGGCAGTGTTTTGTTCTGTTGTGCATAAGGTTGCTATGGGTCGGTACCTATTCGATGGCACCTAACAACAACAACAATTTGATTTTGTGGATTAGAAAATCCTTAAAATTAAAAATGCTATTAGGTTTGCTTTTCAACAAGTGTAAGACATAGACATTAAACAAACTATAATATGTCAGATAATTAATGGTTGTTGTTGTTAAGTGCTGTGGAGTCGATTCCGACCCACAGAGACCCTGTTTAGGGTTTCCAAGGAGCAGCTGGTGAGTTTGAACTGACGATCTTGCAGTTCAAACGACTTTGCAGTCTGATGCATGAGCCCACAGAGCCACACCAGAACTCTTGTTATGAATAATGGAAGGTAAGGGAGTAGGGTGGTTGATGCTATGGAGTAGTCCTTTTTGAAACGCTATTTGAGCAAGGTCTGTATAAAGTGAGGCAATGGCAACGGAAAAGTGAGAAGAGAGTGTGGAAAGTCTCAGGAGTCGTTTCTCTTTCCTTAAATAGAAGGCAAGGTTCAGGAATCTGTACATCTTGTTTCTCCTATAATGGATAGGATAGGGTTTCCATTTTAGAGAGCCTCCATATCTTCTCACATCAAAAGCCCCTATCCTATCCACCACTTTTGCTTCCTCGATTGGAAGTATGCCACTTTTAGATAATTTTACCTTATCCTTCGTGGCACGCGATCTTTTGCTATTTTGAGTATTAGCATAATTTAAAAAAATACCCCTTGTTACAATTTAAGGATGTGCTTTTGGGGTGGCGATATTGCTCTTTGGGGGTGGCGCCGGGAACGCTGCAGTCATATTGCTGCTGCTAAACGCGGAAGCGCTTCGGGTCTATCTCTACCTTCCCGCGGTATCCGGGGCACTTTTCCGCGGAGACTACACTTCCTAGAGTGCCTCGCGGCTGGGGCGGTCGCGCGGGCGGAGTCTCAGGGCCAAATTGAAACAAGATGGCCGATTTACCGTAAGGAGCTGTCAAGGTAACCGCTGCCCTCTCTTCCTCTTGTCGGGTAGTCGGGAGAAGTTGTGCAGTCCCAGAATGTTTTTCTGCAATGTCAATATCTCCTGTTGTAGTTCGCAGCAGGAAGAGGCTGTCTGCATCCTCAGACTCTGTCCGCCCTGCTGAAGGGCCCGCGTGTGGACGCGCGTCTCTAGTAGCGCTTTCCTCGTGCTCGGCCGACTGCCCGCGTGAAGCTAGCTGGTGGCTTTGGGGACCCCTCCAGGTTGAAATTTTTTGTATCTGCCCCAGGGTGCTAGTTTCTGTGCGCCAGGCAGCCTATTCCCCAGTCCTTGAGAATCCGTAGTTTTTGTTTGGGGGTTGGGTTTTGATCCTCGGGACCTACGAGCTGAAATGATCTCCCTCGGGTGAATAATCTGACCCCTAGCCGGGGTGAATAATCTGACCCCAAGCCGGGTGTTCCTGCCTGGGCACTGACCTGGGATTGAGGAGATCCATTGAAAGTACCACGGGCTGCTAAAAGAACCAACAGGTCTGTGTTGGAAGAAGTGCAGTCAGAGTGCTCCTTGGAGGCCATGATTGCCAAACTTCATCTCTTATACTTCGGACATATTGTCAGGAGGGAGCAGTCGCTGGAGAAGGATCTCATGTTTGGTGAGCTGGAAGGTCAGAGAAAAAGAGGAAGAACCCCAGCGAGATGGATTGGCCAAGTGGCAGCATCAATGGGCTCAAGTGTGGCAACAATTGTGAGGCTGGCCCAGGATTGGGCAGTGTTTCGTTCTGTTGTACATAGGGTTGCTATGAGTTGGCACCGACTCGATGGCACCTAACATCAACCACAACAGCAATGCCCCCAGAATGCTTTTTTTTTCTTGGACTCTTAGCTGCAGACTGGAGTTTGCGTACCACCTTATTCCATCTTTGGTCTCTTGGGTATTTTGTCTGTGAAATGGCAATTCCTGCTTCATGGACTTGTGAAAGAGCACATAATGTGCCTCAAGGCGGGCTGTAAACTGAAAATTAGCATGCTCTGGATGTACTGACTGCAAAGAAGAGTTTAGTCTAACAAGTACGATTGCATGACCTGCATCCTGATTCCGTTTTATCACTGACCAAGGGAAGGGTATAACTAGTCACTGAGACCAATGAAATACAAAGGATGGAGGCTTTTTATTTGCACCAGGAATGTTGTGATTGCTATCCTCATTTTACTGCTGAAGAAACTGAGGGTCATCTCTTAGAGTCTTACCAAATGTTTCCAAGTTTCTAAGTGACTACTAACTTTAAAGTTCTTGAAAGCAAGCCGTTTCAATTCTATATTTTAGTTTCTTCATGAATCAAACCAGGCTCCATGGGTTAATGTGCCAGACTGCACAGCTGTTTGAACTGCAAGGTTGGCGGTTCAAGCTCACCAGCTGCTCCTCAGAAACCAGATTCAGGGTCCCTATGGGTCAGAAATGACTCGATGGCACTTAACAACAACAACAAACTGAATTGGTGGTGAAAGCACCTTGAGAAGTTAAAAGGCTTGTATAAAATGATGTAATTTTATATGGACTTTAATACATTTATACATGTTCCTTTAAATCAGTATTTAATAAGCCAATGATGTTGTTATATGCTGTCTAGTTGGTTCCGACTCATAGGGACCCCATATAGGGTTTCCCAGGAATGACTAGTGAACCTGAACCACCAACTTTACCGTCCAGACCGACCTTATGGTCCAGAGCATTCACCCACTGTGAAACACCAGGACACCAAGCCAATGATTGTTGTTGTTAGATGCCACCGAGTCAGCACTGACTCATAGCGACCCTATGTACAACAGAGCAAAACACTGCCCAGTCCCAGGCTAACCTCACAATTGTTGCCACGCCCATTGATTCTGCCACTTTGCCAATCCATCTCCCTGGGGGGTGGGGATGGGAGGTCTTCCTCTTTTTCTCTGACCCACCACCTTACCAAATATGATATCCCTTTCCAGTGACTGGTCCCTCCTGACAATATGTCTGAAGTATGAGAGATGAAGTCTGGCCATCCTGGTCTCCACGGAGCACTCTGGCTGTACTTTTTCCAATACAGATCTGTTTTTTGTTTTTTTTTTTTTGGCAGCCCATGGTACTTTGAATATTCTCTTCCAACACCGTAACTCAAATGCATCAATTCTTCTATGATCCTCCTTATTCACTGTCTAGCTTTCGCATGCACATGAGGTTGTTGGAAATACCATGGCTTGGGTTAGATGTACCTTAGTCCTCAAGCTGACATCTTTGCTCTTCAACACTTCAAAAAGGTCTTGTACAGCAGATTTGCCTAATGCAATACATTGTTTGATTTCTTGACTGCTGCTTCCATGAATGTTGATGGTTGAGCTGAGAAGAATGAAGTTCTTGGCAACTTCAGTCTTCTCTCCTTTGATAAGAATGCTGTTTATTGGTTCAATGGTGAGGATTTTTGTTTTCTTTACATTGAGATGCAATCCATACTGAAGGCTATGGTCTTTGATTTTCATCAGTAAGCATTTTAAGTCCTCTTCACTTTCAGCAAGCAAGGTTGTATCAACTACATATCGCAGGTTGTTAATGAGTCTTCCTCCATTCCTGAAGCCACATTTTTCTTCATATAACCCAGATTCTCGGATTATTTGCTTAGCATACAGCAAATGATAGGCCATGTTTAATAGTTCATTTAATCAGGACTGGAATAGTACTATAAGTGATATGACAGCTGGTAGGCTGTACAATGTGAGCAAGGATGCCCTATGTAAAATGTGTGACTGAATGTTTCTAAGAGCAATTATACATTTGTTCAGTACTTATTAAGTGGAAAGAATAGCACAGGTCCAGAGGAGCTTGCATTTAAGAGAAACAGTGATACAAGTAGTTCTGGGCATTTTGATCTTAAGTTTTAATAATGTTCTTTGTCTGATTGTTAAATTGAATGGAAATGCTTCAAGTGACTTTAGTTCTAGCTATTGATTTCTGTCTAGTCTTGTACTAATAGTAAATATATCACTTTCCCATTGGTAGTACTGATTTTTCTGTATCTCTTAAGCAGGGCTGGAAATAGGTGTGCCTAACAGCAGATTTGAAAAGCAGCTTCTCTTAATGGCATCTTTTTTATACCATCTGATAGCATCTTGATTCACCATGGCAGTGGCAGCAGTAAAATGGGCTCTATCAAACAGAACTGCTTTGAAACATTTACTTCCAGTTCAAAGTAAGTGATTTGTTTTAATGTTTAAAAAGAGTTTTAAAAACTTTCCAAATATTGTAGGAATATAAATTTATTAGAGAAAATTTAAAGTGTTTAGTTGTGTGTATCCATTCTGTTGTATAGGTCTGTTAATTGCAGGGGTGTTTGTAATAATGGAAAAGTGTAGAAAATCTAAATGTCTTTGAAAAGGGGAGAGAGTTGTGGTGCAGGATAATGCACTGGACCGCAAGGTCGGTTCGAATGGCAAAGTTGGCAGTTGAAATCCACCATCTGCTCTTCAGAAACGCTATACAGGGTCGTTATGAGTCAGAACCTATTCAATGACATTTAATAACAACAATAACAATCAGAAGGGGAATATCATGTGCAGTTATCAACATGCAAAGATCTCCAAATAGACTAGGAAAAAATATATATATATGTCAGAGAACAGTGTCTATTGTGTGATCCCACTTGCTTGATTAAAAGCTGACCCACCAAATATGTATATATTGTTGTTGTTAAGTGCCTTCAAGTTGGTTCTGACTCATAGTGACCTTATATGGGTTTCTGAGGTGAGAATTTGAATTGCAACTGGTGAATTTGAATTGCCAACTTTAGTTTAGTATGTATCCTATTGTGTCACACCCAAACTCCATAGGTGTACATGACTATATATACGTGCAGAGTAAAAGGTCTGGCGTAAACAGTGGTTATCGACAGAGCGCAAGTGGAATTTACCAGACAGCAGGAGTTAGTGTGGTGGACTTTCTTTTGTTTGAATCATTGATACTTAGTATGTTTTCATGCATTTTAATAGATCTCTTAGTAATTAGCAAATAAGGGCAAATTCACAATCCCATATTGTATAAATAACCACGGTTCCTATTTTGCTGTGTTCTCTTTGTGTTTTTCTGTGTACTTAGCCGTTAAAAGGAGTCCTGGTGTGGTTCTGTAGGGTAAGCACTGGACTGCTTACAAGTTAGCACCACCTCAGAAACCCTGTACAGGTTGTTATGAGTTGGAACTGACTTGACACCACTTAACAACAACAAGCCAATACAAAAACAAAACTACCTTTTCTAAATAACTGGGTGGTTTAATATTTTATTCAAACCTTGTTAATGCATATTTGATCATCAAACCATTGACCCTTATAAGAAAATAGAATGTTGAAATTCAAGTATGTTTTCACTTTCTGTTTCCTGTTCTGCATTAAATATTGTTGTTGTTGTTAAGTGCTGTTGAGTCTATTCTGACTCATAGTGACCCTCTATAGGGTTTCCGAGGAGCAGCTGGTGAGTTTGAACTACCAACCTTATGTTCAAACTGACCTTGTGGTCCAATGCTTATCTTATAGTCCCACACCAGGACTCCTAGACATTGTTGTTGTTGTTAAGTGCCATGGAGTTGGTTCCGACTCACAGCAACCCTATGTAGGGTTTCCAAGGAGCGGCTGGTGAGCTCGAACTGCTAGGACTCCTAGACATTGTTAGAAGGCTATAATAAAACCACATAAAACCCACTGCCATCAAGTTGAGTCCAGCTTATTGTGACCCTATAGGGCAGAGTAGAACTTCCTTAGTTTCCAAGACTGTCCTCCTTAGGGAAGCAGGTGGCCACATCGTTCTCCTGCAGAGCAACTGGAGGGTTCACATTGCTGACCTTTTGGTTAGTAACCAGCTGCCACCAGGACTATTTGAAGGCTACTTTAGGGTTGCTTTTTTCTACTTAGCTATCTCAGCAGCTTCTTTATGTATCTCTGCCTGAATTTCATCTCTTTGTATTGTCTACTTACCACCATATGTCATTCAACATTTGTTTATTGAATTAAAATGATTAAGGTAAAGAGTAGAGTAATAAGTAAGGGGTTTGTGGGTAGGGTACTTAGGGGAAAAATGTTTTGCATACTCAAAAAAAATGTTTGTTGAATAGAATTTTCAGAAGTTTGCTAAATCCTAGTATTAAAGGAAGTTTTCTATTACTGTATTTCCCCCAGTCATTACTTTCTTTTTCTTTAGGGATCTGAGCTTAATAACTTATCATATCCTTAATTTATGAATGACTTTCAAAAAGTTCATGTAAAAATAGAATTGAAAAATAATGGAATTTTTCCAAGAACTTTTTGAAGCCTGTTTGTACAGTTAACTAAGTAAATAGATGAGATTGCTAAGAGACTTGGGTTATAATCGAAATCAGTGAAAACTGAATGAAATTCCAGTCAACTCTTGATTATCTGGGAGCATTTTTCTCATAGGAATTAGGTGGAAGACCTGCTACTGTTGACCTAGCCCCAAGGTTGATGGCAAGTTTTTATCTGGTCCATGACCTAAAGAGCAGTTAGTCTGTAAGGTAATCTTAAAATCAAATCTGTCTCTGCGTAATTGGAAACTGTCTGTCCTTTCCCCACTCCATTGTACATTTGTACCATGTCTAATTTATTTTGTTGTCCTTATTGCCTCTCACACATGATAGGTGGTAAATAACTGCTTGGTGGACTAATCTGAATGGATTGATGCACCTGCCAAAATTTAGTTAAGAATTAATTTAGGTTAGCTCAGAATATGATTCCATTATCACTCAGTCTTTCCAATATTCAATGACTACTTATTGATACTGTTGAAGAATGTTGTGTAAGATAAGGAGAGACCTTAAGATTGGAGGCAAAACAAAACCGTGAATGAGGGGGAAAGTTAAATGAACAAAATTAATAGACTTCTTTATATTCCAGAACGAATAGTTAAAACATTTCTAATAGGAAATAGTTTCTTAAGCACATTAAAACATTTCTTTACGTAGTAGGCCATGTGGTGGTTGTTAGCTGAGGTCTAGTTGGCCCCTGACTCATGATGACATCATGCGACCTCATGTGCAAGGAAATTAAATGCTGCCTGGTCATAGGTCATAACTGGTTGTGGATTGGACTGTTATGATCTATAGGGTTTCCATTGGCTGATTTTTGGAAGTAGATTGTCAGAACTTTCTTCCTAGTCCATCTTAGTCTGGAAACTGCTGAAATTTGTTCAGCAACATAGCAATATACAAACCTCCACTGACAGATGGAGAATAGAACCCAAGTCTTCTCATGTAAGATGAAAATCTACCACAGAACCGCCAGTGCCTCATAGGCCATGTGGTATTACCCTTTTTATTAAAGTGAAGGAACTTGAGTTCTCTAACCCTCAGAAATTTACCCATGGTCACATATCTGGTAAGGGAAAGCTGTGACCAAATTTAGGTCTACCTCTCTTAGTTCAGTGCTCTTTCTGTTCTATTTCCTTTTCTGTAGGAGCGTTAGTGGGACAACTTTCAGCTTTTGTAGATCTTATCAAAGTACAATGAAATACATGCAACAAGAATAGTGCGTAAGTTACGGAGAGCTGACTCACTGAAATTCTTGTCCACATTGAGTTGCTTTGATTTGCTATGGCATCGGTCCTAATGATATATTTAGAACTTCTGATTCTTCCCACATCTAGAATTTTTCTTTAGCAGAATGTCAGATACTGAGCTTTTCTAGTATTAATTATGTAGAAATTAACATTTTAGATAGGCACTGTCGGGGACATGGTAATGAGTAAAATGTGGTTCCTGGCCTTAAGGAACTTAATTAGAATTGTAGATCTAGCAGACTGCTGTTAAAATAACTAGAATATGAGGTAGACTGTGAGGGTACAAACAAATGTCATATAAAAATTGTACTGCGTTTTTAGTTGAAATATAGTTGTCTTGAATTTTCCTCCTTTTTATAGAAGGAGTCCTGGTGTGGCTCTGTGGGTTAATGCACTGGAATGTAAGGTCAGTTTGAACCACAAGGTCCGCAGTTCATCCTCACCAGCCACTCCTCTGAAATCTTATATAGGATTGCTGTAAGTGTGTGCTGACTCATCAGCACTTAATAACAACAACAATTTATAGAAAATTTAATTCTGCTTACCCTGTCTTTGTCTTCCCACTTTGTTTCTTTTTGTGAATACATACAACACCTAGTAGTTTATTTTCAGAGAATACATGAAAAATAGAGTAATCTAATTCATTCATAATTAGGTAGGTCTCAGCAGTGTCCCATTCTGAAATAAAATACATCATCCTCTGATTTATTTTACTGAATGCTTCTCTGTATACCTGGTTACTGAGAACTAATAAATCTTGAGATTTAACTTTTTAAATTCATTGTATTTGTTACTGTAACATCAGAATTTTGAATCAGCATTTTGTTGAACAATTTTTTGAATGCTAACAGTGACTTTTGTTATGGGCTTTTTTATGCTTTAGCGTAAGAATTTATATTCAGACCCCTAAACATATACAAGGAGTCCTAGTGTGACACTATAACTGGACTGGTAATTGTAAGGTTGGCTGCTCAGACCCACCAGCAACTATGAGTTGGAACTGACTTGATGTCAATTTATTAACAACAATAACAGAAAATATGTAGGAAGAGGCTTTACAAAGTTTGTGGGAAAATGGGATGAAAAGATAATGGTATAGTCCTTGGGTGGATGAGACGCTTGCAAACATGGAAACACAGACACATGTGAATAACTGATCAGACCCTCCCCCCTCAAAAAAAAAAAAAAAAGGACTGCAGAGAAGATACAGAAATGTCATATGCAAATGTTGATTGGAGGACGTGTAAAATAGACAACTCTTCTCCTTGTGATAAGAGGTTGTAGGGCAAAAAGGATCAAAAGAATTCACAGAATAAAAAAGAAAATAGTGCAAAAAAGTGGCACCATCCCATAGCCCTCTCTACTCAGTTGGCTCGAGAATTCATTGCAGTGGTCACACAGAACTCAGACAGCATGCTCACAGTTAGAGAGTTTATTGGGAAGCTAACAGCTTATAGTTCAGGGTCAGGAATGTGTAGGGCACAGTTCCTCCAGACAGGACAGCCTCTCCTATACCACGCCCGCAGGTAGCCTCTCAAGTTCTTGGCCACTCTATTATGGGCCCCTTGACCTCTGTCCTGCTCTAGCAATGTTAGTAAAGCTCTTTTAGGATTGCTAATAAATGCCCACTTTAATGTGAAAATTCTCACAACTAGACTAATAACATTATGATAAATGGAGAGAAGTTTGAAATTGTCAAAGGATTCATTTTGTTTGGATCTACAATGCTTATGGAAGCAGCAGTCAAGAAATCAAAAGACATATTGTGTTAGGCAATAAGAGCTCTTTAAAATGTTAGAGAGCAAAGTTGTCACTTTGAAGACTAAGGTGCACCTGATCCAACCTATGTTGTTGTTGTTGTTAAGTGCTGTCAAGTCAGTTCTGACCCATAGCGACCCTGTACAGGGTTTCCGAGACTGTAAATCTTTATGGGAGCAGAAAGACTCATCTTTATCCCACAGAGCAGCTGGTAGTTTCAAACTGCTGACCTTAAGGTTCGCAGCCCGATTCGTAACCACTATGCTACCAGAGCTCCTTTCTGTAATTGCCTCATATGAATGTGAAAGTTGGACAATGAATAAGGAAAACTGTAGAAGAATCAATGCATTTGAGTTATGGTGTTGGTAAAGAATATTGAGAGTACCATGGACTGCCAGATGAACAAACAAGTCTGTCTTGAAAGATAATACATACAGCCAGAGTGCTGCTTGGAAGTGAGGAGGACACTTTGTCTTTAGTACTTTGGAGTTGTCAGGAATGACCAGTCCCTGGAAAAGAACATCATACTTGGTTAAGTGGATGGTCAGCAAAAAAGAAAACCCCCCCACCCCGCAACAAGATGGATTGACAGAGTAGCAGCAAAATGGGCTCAAATATAATAATTGTGAGGAGGGTGCAGGACAAGACAGTGTTTTGTTCTATTGTGCATAAGGTTGCTGTAAGTCAGAACTGACTCAACAGCACCTAACAACAAAAATAAATGTCCCAAAGGCACTCCATTCTTGATATAAGCCTCAGCCCAAAGATGCTCAGCTCTACTTCTGTGGGTCAATAAACCTAGCTCCCCAGTTAAGTTCATGGAGGTACTTACTGTACAAGTGAGCCTCCTGCCCAAAGGCACTCAGCTTTATTTGCTCCATCTGCCAGGAAGCCTACTGCTCTGCCTGGTGCTCTGGTTCTTGGGGCTGTTGCTGTTGCTCCTCAGGTGTTCCAGCTCTCTGTTCCTGAGTTGAGGAGGTTCAATGTGCAGAGTTCTTGGGCCCTTAAGGATGTTATCCACTCCTGGTTCTTCTCTGATGGTAGTGAGTTCCCCCTCCTGCTTCTAAAATGACTCATTTCAAACCCAGCAGAATGGCAAAATTGACCCATCACAACAGCACATATCATTCACAACTGAATTATTATTTATCAGCCTCTTCCCCCAGCTTCTGTTACTTAGACTCAGCAAGTAAAAGTTTGGTGTGGCTTTACAAAGACTGGCTAGAACCAACAACCCCACTGCCATCCAGTGGATTCTGACTCAGAGGGACCCTGTGTAGGGTTTCAGAGGTTATAAAGCTTCCTTTCCCACTGAGTGACTGTTAACCTTGAAGTTAGCCCAGGTTGGAACAATTCACTGTACCACATGGGCATTTGACTTTGCAGGATGGGTGGTATTTAAACAAAGTGAGGCTGGAACCCTACACTGAAGTAAGGCTTGAGAATATGTTGTTATAATATGTAGTGGGAGCAGGAGGTTGTGTTGGAGCTGATCCTTGGCTTCAACCAAGATTTATTCAGAGCTTGCTTTAAATAAAGCAAAACTATGTTGTGCTACATTTGTATTTTTCTTATATTTAGGAGAACATCTTTTTGAACATAGGAGAAACTTTGATAAGCATTTTTAAGAGTAATTATGGCTCTTGAATATCCAGGTATGGCTCATGAATATCAAAAAAGGAAAATATATTTTAAAAAAGAGCATGAGCTTTTTGATTAAGAAAAGTTAATTTTAAATTATTTTGTATTGTATCATTTAACACTTCCCCTTTATGAACTACATACTCCAAGTACACTAATGTTTTTGGACTACTCCTAAATACTTTCTTTCTGACCTTTGATCCTTAACACCTGTCCTTCCCCCTGCAGGGATCATTGTACTCATCCCTTGTCAACTCCTATTTATTTTCTCATTCTGCAGAACAGCTTAGGTATCATTTTTGTGGCAAGGCTTTCTTGATCCTCCACAGTTGTGTTTGGTAGCCTGTCTATGTGCTCTTCTCTCTCTTGATGCTTTCCCAATTGAACAATGCTCATTCTCTTTATTGGACCTGTTGATTAACTTTTTTCTGTCATAAAACTAACTGTACATACACTCTTGAGATCAGGGGCTAGATCTTAATTTGTTGTTGAATCCCTTGTCAATAACATAATTGGATCATAGGAAACAGTATACAGACATATTTGGATCATCATGTTGTTGTTAAGTGCCATTGAGTCGGTTCCGACCTATAGCCACCCTGTATAGGGTTTCTGAGGAGTAGCTGGTGAGCTTGAACCGCCAACCTTGCAGTTCAAATGGCTTTGCAGTCTGGCGCATTAACCCACAGCACCACACCAGAACTCCTAGGAAACAGTAATATTAAAAAAGTCGAATGAGAGAAACTGGCTTTACGTTTTTGTAGGATCATATGTTGACGTTTACTAAATCCATTTTACTGTTTGGCTCTTTGCAGATGGCGTTTTGTATTGTATTTGTCATAAATCTACATATTCTTCTCTTCCAGATGACTATAATTGGTAAGTGCTAAAATTTAATTGAAAGAATAACAGTTCATTAGCTTTATTTGAAATGAATTAATTTGTTGTTCTGGCATTTTCTTCTTTCTTTTCTGACTATTATTTCTTTAATTTTGTTCTTAAAATTATTTCAGTGAGTTTCTTTATCCAGTATATGGATTTATAAGCATCTTAAATAAAAATCATTATTATTGTGTTTCAATGAATACTTCATTTGTTGTAAGACATGCTGTTAAGAATGCTGTCTTCATAAAGTGTACTTTACCTTTCATGGAAAAGTTAATTCGTTTTTATACTTTTATCTTAGGTTCATATCTATTTGTTTAAACAGTTACTTAGCATAATCTTTTGTTTGACAATGAATAATCCTGAATTACAAGTATTTAAATCAACAGCCATTATTTGGTACTTCCTCAATCATTATGGTAAAAAGTAGGAATAACTTGAATAAGACATTATCTTTTTTCTCTGCCACATTAACTGCAACGTATTTTCCTTGTCTTTATTATTTTTTTAAAAAATTATTTTTACTTTTCTGAGCTAATGAGATTTATTCAAGCCTACACAATGTTTTTCTGTTACAAATTTTAGTAAAAATATATTTTATTCCCTCTTGAAACTAGTTCTAATTTAAGCTCTAATTGTACAATAAAATAGTGATGAAGTTGGACTAAGTAACACTTTTTGAACCTAATTAGGTTGAATCTTAAAAATGTTTTGATTATATAAAATTCTGTCTATCACCAAGGATCATTTTTTTAGATAACAATATTCACTGCAGCTGTATTACAGTATTTAATTTTAAAAACACAGGGAAACAATCTCATGTTTTATTATTCTTTGCTAGCTAAAATAAACTTTTAATTTAAGTGTCAGTCTGACTGGCATTAAAATCCAAGAAACTTAACATTTTCAGGCCTATAGAAGTCATAGTGTGGCACTATAGGATAAGCACTGGACCATAGGTCAGTTGGGATCACAAGATTGGCAGTTCAAACCCACCAGCCACTCTTTGGAAAACCTATACAGGGCTGCTATGAGTTAGAACCGACTTGATGGCACTTTAGCAACAACAGAGAACACAGAAGTTAAAGTTGAAAGTTTTGCTTTTTAGGGTCTTCGGAAAACTGGCTTAGTTAGTTGGTACCTGAAGGAGTGAGATTCAGCCAAAGTATTCCCGGAAAAGTATTGCCAAAAATGTGTTCTTCTGATGGATATTAATGGAGGGAAGGGATCATACTCAACAGCTCCCAACTTTATCTGACCATAGAACCGTTTTTAAGGTGAATTTTCACAGTTCTTTTGTTCTCCAATATGCACTTGCAGAAATTCTGGTTTAGAAAAGTCGTCAGCTAAACTGTCTTCGTGACTAGAAATTCAGATGATCCTTTACCTTGGAGATTTTGCTTTGCTGATCTTTAACTTTAATAATTCAACTACGTAATGTGCTTCTTGAAACTTTTTAAAGGAAAACAACTTTTCACCATAGTGACTAATAAAGATGAAAGTCTCTTCCAAAGAGATTGGATGAGCTAAACACATAAACAGTGTGGAGACTAATTTAAATAATAGTGATGGTGTAAAGGGTTTTTTGTGGTAATTAAGCTGACATGGTTTGGAATGAATTAAGTTGTCACTTACGATATGGGTATCAGATTTGCCAGCATCTTCAGAAATGTGTGATTAATCAATTTTAACTCTTAAGCATGATTATTCCATCTGGAAAACAGTATAACACTTTTTCTAAAATATTCTTTTTTTAGCAAGGTAGAGCTTGCTTTGACGTCAGATGGCAGGACGATAGTATGTTATCACCCTTCTGTGGACATTCCATATGAGCACACAAAAGTATGTATGATAAAATGTCTTGTTTTTAATTTGCTCTTAGAAATGTTTATGCTTACAATACCCAAAGAGTGGTTTGATTTTCTTTATTTGGCTTAGATCCACTTTTGTTTTTAAAGTTTTTATTGTGAATTGAATGATAGTTTACATGGGATAACATCAGTTTTACACTCATTGTTTCATTGCAATGATTACAATTCCCTCTGTGTATCATCAGTCAACAGTATTTGCTTCTATTCCCTCTGTGTTTTTTTCTTTGTTTTTGGGGGAGGGGATGATATACAACAAAAACGCTCAGGAATATATAATAATTTAAATGACCAAAGGACACATTCTGCAAGCCTGCCTACTGGCTACCAGCAGTCAATCTTTCTCTAGCTCCACTTTTTTTCCCCACATGTTTTATTGTGAATTATGTGATAGTTTACATCGAAGAACATTAGCTTTACATTCATCCTGTTGTATATCGTTTCATTGCCATGGTTACAATCCCCTCCATGCATCATCAACCAACCATAGGGTATACCCTGCAAGCCTGCCCCCTGGTCATCAGCACACAGCTCCTCTCCCTCTCTGGGTCTAAAGTCCCCAGCTGCTCCATCTCTCCAAGTCATCGTCTTTGTCTCCATCTCTGGTGCCGCTGCTTCTCTGGGTAGGGTCCCGCTCTCCGCTCTTCTCCCTTGATGGTACCAGAGACCTCCGCTCCTAGACTGCAAAATCAGTCACTCCCCTCCTTTTGCTACAAAACGTCTACCTTTACATTTCCAACCCTCACAATGAGTTCTGATAATAATTATTCACTATTGTATCACATCAGGTGGCATCATTGATGGACTCAAGTGTGGCAGCGGTAGGGAGGTTGGCCCAGGATCGGACATTGTTTCGTTTTGCTGTTCATGGAGTCGCTATGAGTTGGTTCCGACTCGATGGCACCTGACAACAACAACATTGTATCACAAGAGACCTATCCCCATCTCCTTTTATCAGCCCCACCCAGACAGACTGGATACTACTCAGAGATCTAGCTTCCCTTTTAACTTTTTTATTTTACTGTTTGAATTTTTTTCTCTTTCTCTTTTCCCCATCTTTTGTTTTTAAAGACTTTGCTCAGTATACAAAGTAAAACCATATAAACACAATTATGAATATCAATTTTCTGTTCTAAAAATCATAGCTTTTTGGCTGTGTGTCAAGCACCTCAGGTTGGAATTTATCCCATATTATCATCTAATAAATTATGAAAAACTTTTATTTTAGAATGTAGTTTCATAACTTTTGTATCATTTTCTCTGCTAGTCCTCCAGTGTTTGGTGAAAATTTTTGTTGTTGTAAGCTTTTTCTAATGGGCCAGCCTGGGTATATATTTTAAGTGAGTAGTTTATTTTTTTCCTATATTTATTCAAAAGCCAGGACACTAGATAGGAGAGGTTTTGTTTTTAACATGGTTTAGTTTGACTCAAGTCTTTTTATTTTATATTCTAAGTTCTCGCTCCTGTTTCTTTAAGCCTTCTTCTATATTTGTAATGTTTTATTTGTTTTTTAAAAGAAAATAATTAAGTAATTCAAGTCATCACATGGTGCATCTCTGTTGTTAAGTGTCATGGAGTGTTACTGATTCACAGTGGTATAGGATTTCCAAGGCTATAGATCTATGTGGGAGCAGAAAGCCTCTTCTTTCTCCTGTGGAGGGACTAGTGGACTCAAATCACTGACCTTGTGGTTTGCAGTCTAGTGCTAATCCTATAGAACCACTACTCTCCCTATTTGTCAAGTTGGTTCTGACACATAGTGACCCTGTATATGATTTCCAGGTATCAGCTGATGGGTTTGAACTGACCTTGTGGTTCTAAGTCCAGTGCTGATCCTTTAGTGCCACACTGGGAGTCCTGGTAAACTCTTATACTTTTTGCTGTGGTTATATGCTCTATAGTTTTGGCAAGAGCTGAAATCAAGAAGGACTTCACCCCAAAGTCAACGCTGCTAGGTCATTTCTCAGCATCCAAACTCTCATCCCCACAGGGCTCTTTACATCCCTGAGTATCTGACTTCTCCTACCCTTCCCATCTCTCAAAACTTTTCACTGTGCCTTTTAGAGCATAATGCTGTTTATCAGTAAAATGGCTCATCACCTTAGACTTTCAGAGTGTTACCTTCACCTTCTGGCTATACCCTGGAGGCCTCTTCAGTTGTTCTCCAGTAGTAATTTTTTCTCCCAGTAGTCCTTTTAAATTGCTGTTTTCTCTTCTGTACTTTTCTTATCGCTGGGCCTAGAAGTTCAAATTCACCCACCGCTCCTTGGAAACCTATAAAGGGTTGCTATGAATCGGAACCACCTTGACACCACTTAACAACAGAGGTGATATATATCCCTATAGCTCCTCTTTGTCACTTCAGACTCTTTTTCCTCCTCCCTAGCTCTGTAGCTGGGACCATTTTATCACCTGCTATTTTAAAGGAGCTCTGGTATTATAGTGGTTACGAATTAGACTGCGAACCTTAAGGCCAGCAGTTCGAAACTACCAGCTGTTCCGTAGGAGAAAGATGAGGTGTTCTGCTCCCGTAAAGATTTACAGCCTTGGAAACCCTGTACAGGGTTGCTATGAGTTGGAACTGACTCCACAGCACATAACAACAACAACAGTCTTTCTTTTTGCTAAAGCAAATGGAAGAAGTGAGAAGAGGTACAAGAGCTGTACAAAAAATTTCAAAGGTCAGCTCGCTAAGACAAAGTCAAATATTATAACGAAGTGTGCAGAGACCTGCAGTTAGAACACCAAAAGGGTAGAACACACTCAGCATTTCTCAAGCTGAGGGAACTGAAGAAAAAATTCAAGCCTCGATTTACGATATTGAATGATGCAGAAGGCATAGAAGGAATATGGAAGGAATATGCAGAGTCACTGTACCAGAAAGAGATGCTTGATGTTCAACCATTTCAAGAGGTAGCACATGATCAAGAGCCAATGATCCTGAAGGAAGAAGTCCAAGGTGCATTAAAGGCATTGGCAAAGAACAAGGCACCAGGAATTGTTGGAATACAAATTGAAATCTTTCAAGAGTGAGGCGGCACTGGAGCACTCACAAAACAAGGGAACACTTAATGGTTTAAAATTAGGAAAGGAATGTGACAGGGTTGTATTCTTTCACCATACTTATTCAACCTGTATGCTGAGCAAATAATCCAATAAGCTGGTTAATATGAAGAAAAATGTGGCATCAGGATTGGAGGAAGACTCATTAACAACCTGTGGTAGCAGATGATACAACCTTGCTTGCTGAAAGTGAAGAGGACTTAAAATACTTACTGATGCAGATCAAAGACACCAGCCTTAGGTATGGGCTGCCAAAAGAACAAACAGATCTATGTTGGAAAAAGTACAGCCAGAGTGTTCCTTGGAGGCCAGGGTGATCAAACTTTGTCTCTCATACTTGGGACATATTGTCAGGAGGGACCAGTCACTGGAGAGAGATACCATGTTTGGGCAACCCATGCCACCTTCAAATATTCTCCTCCAACAGTGTAACTCAAAAGCATCGATTCTTCTATGGTCTTCTTTATTCACTG